CCCCTAGTATCGGTTACTGTGGGAAGAATTCGTGCAGAACTAGGGCTGATCGAATATGTGGATCCAATAGCGACCCTTAGGCTCTGGGTTCTCGTGAGTGTACCAGCATTTTACATATATAGCTTCTTCTGACGAAAGGATTTTTTTGAGGTGGTGACAGCTTTGGCAGCTTTGTGCTCGGTTCTTGTACTTCTTGCATTTCTTTGGAAGAAAAGAAGAACTGAGCGAGAAAGAGATTACAGGAAGATCCAAATGCAAATGGAACACTTAGAAAGTAATGTGCGGAAAGAATGCAAGCAGGTCTGTCAACTTTGAATCTTTACTCTATCAGACCACCAACCGTTTTTTCAAATCTAGGCATTCGCCGAATTGCAAACGACAATGGAAAGTTGTGGTGATGAGGAGTACGAAGGAATGGATGTCGCCACATTCCCGGAGTTTCTGCATCGACTTCTATGGGAAGATAGCAGTTGGACCCATTCGACTTCTCTTTATGCATCCACACTGCCAGTCACCCTTGCGCAGTTTGATGCTCTTCTCAGCAGTAAACAATTCATTTTCTCGGTGAGCTCCATGATTTTCAACAATTGTTACAGCCTGCCTAACAGGGGATGGACACATAGTCGCGAAATACATACCGTTAGATTATGAAGTACTGACTTCAAATCTGCTTTCCTTACCTGCCAAGCCAACTACAATTGGAAACAACAAAACACAAAATTATTCTTTGATAAAATTACCTTAGACATCAACATTCTATTTTTTGCGGTGCTGCTTTGCTTTAGAGTTAAACATCTAAGCATTCGTCTGTAAGCCATTTCTGACTACTGCATTCCATGAATAGATCGGCAGATATGGAAGAAAGTTCAGAGTTTACATTTCGCTCTGGCTTTACCGTATGCATCCTTTAAGTTGCCTTTTCTAGTGAACATCCTTTCTTTCTGAGTAATCTAAGCCACTCTTGTTAAATGGAACAGCGCTTCAATGATGTTTCTCCTATGCAAAGGGTGGTAAATCTTGAAAAAAGAAACTTCCCATTGCGTAGAAAAAAAGGCTTTCAACATAATTTAAACCATACTGTTAATCACAACAAAGAGCATAGAAGCGCAGAATAATTTCGAAAATTTACTTAAGAGGATTATTGTCAGATCTGGTTATCTACCCTCTTTTCAAACTTTTCATTAGAAAAACTTTGCCTATTTTGGTAGAATATAGGTTACTTTAACGCAGGCTTCCTTTATTGTTCCACGTTTTGACTTGATCTACGCACTTTAAACTAATGGAAACCATTTTTAATCATTTGTAGAGCTAAATATCTACTATTGAAGAGTTTGCTTCGTGAGCAGTTCAGTTACCTTTACGAAGTTTTGTCAACATATTGAAAAAACATAACTCATTGTTTCTAATTGTGACTTATGTGAATCGAAAACATCTTCTGAGCTTTTCAGATTGTGGAAACAGCTGAATCAGATCCAACCATGACACTTGGCGAAAAAAGCATGTTATCATCTCTCCTCGTCGCTGTGCTACTCCGGAATTTCCAGTACTGCACTGACATCGTTTTATCGTTGCTGCGGGCTCATATTGCTAAAAGCGTCCATGTGAGTCTAATTAATTTTAAAAAATCTGAGTCAAACAGGGGTTAGGCTTTTTCATTGAAAATAGCAAAGAGTCTGGGCCATATACTGAAAAAAACCTTCGACACTTATCTTTAGTTGCTAATCTACATTATCAATCCTTCAAACTGAAAAACTGGTGTTGCCACAGACTTTTCTTCAAATTCCTGTACATTCGCATTTTAGTTGCTCTTGCAAAAATTCATTATAGCTAGGAATTCAAAAGTAAAAAAAAAGTTCAAATTGCGACACGAGCAGAATGCAACACCTCCATCAATGCTATTCTTCGTCAATGAATTGCAAACAGAGACATATCTAATTTTGCTGCACAAATAATGTCTCTTTCCATTCGTTTGATTGATTTTTCTGCTCTTGCAACCTTTTTGCTTTTGCAATAATGAGGCTTTAGGCTGGAAATAGTGATATACTGTTTCGGAAGAGCGACAGCGTTGTAGAGAAAATGGTAGCGAAATGGCTGACAATTTGTCTTTACGATTCCATTGCACAATATCAGGCGAATAAGTACAATACCCTTTTCAAAGTGAGT